ATATGAAGGAGGATAACTTCTATATGAAGGAGGATAACTTCTATATGAAGGAGGATAACTTCTATATGAAGGAGGATAACTTCTATATGAAGGAGTGTAACTTCTATATGAAGGAGTGTAACTTCTATGTGAAGGAGGATAACTTCTATATGAGGGAGTGTAACTTCTATATGAAGGAGGATAACTTCTATATGAAGGAGGATAACTTCTATATGAAGGAGTGTAACTTCTATATGAAGGAGGATAACTTCTATATGAAGGAGGATAACTTCTATATGAAGGAGGATAACTTCTATATGAAGGAGGATAACTTCTATATGAAGGAGTGTAACTTCTATATGAAGGAGTGTAACTTCTATATGAAGGAGTGTAACTTCTATATGAAGGAGGATAACTTCTATATGAAGGAGGATAACTTCTATATGAAGGAGGATAATTTCTATATGAAGGAGTGTAACTTCAATATGAAGGAGGATAACTTCTATATGAAAGAGTGTAACTTCTATATGAAGGAGGATAACTTCTATATGAAGGAGTGTAACTTCTATATGAAGGAGTGTAACTTCTATGTGAAGGAGGATAACTTCTATATGAAGGAGGATAACTTCTATATGAAGGAGGATAACTTTTATATTGAAGGAGGATAACTTCTATATGAAGGAGGGTAACTTCTATATGATGGAGGATAACTTCTATATGAAGGAGGGTAACTTCTATATGATGGAGGATAACTTCTATATGAAGGAGGGTAACTTCTATATGATGGAGGATAACTTCTATATGAAGGAGGATAACTTCTATATGAAGGAGTGTAACTTCTATATGAAGGAGTGTAACTTCTATATGAAGGAGTGTAACTTCTATATGAAGGAGTGTAACTTCTATATGAAGGAGTGCAACTTCTATATGAAGGAGGATAACTTCTATATGAAGGAGTGTAACTTCTATATGAAGGAGTGTAACTTCTATATGAAGGAGTGTAACTTCTATTTGAAGGAGTGTAACTTCTATATGATGGAGGATAACTTCTATATGAAGGAGGATAACTTCTATATGAAGGAGTGTAACTTCTATATGAAGGAGGATAACTTCTATATGAAGGAGTGTAACTTCTATATGAAGGAGGATAACTTCTATATGAAGGAGTGTAACTTCTATATGAAGGAGTGTAACTTCTATATGAAGGAGTGTAACTTCTACATGAAGGAGGAAAACTTCTATATGAAGGAGTGTAACTTCTATATGAAGGAGTGTAACTTCTATATGAAGGAGGATAACTTCTATATGAAGGAGGATAACTTCTATATGAAGGAGGATAACTTCTATATGAAGGAGGATAACTTCTATATGAAGGAGGATAACTTCTATATAAAGGAGGAAAACTTCTATATGAAGGAGTGTAACTTCTATATGAAGGAGTGTAACTTCTATATGAAGGAGGATAACTTCTATATGAAGGAGGATAACTTCTATATGAAGGAGGATAACTTCTATATGAAGGAGTGTAACTTCTATATGAAGGAGGATAACTTCTATATGAAGGAGTGTAACTTCTACATAAACGATGCATCAGTGAGGGGTAACTAAGGTCAAACATCACAAGCAGAACACACAGAAATCACAATAGCGTGATGCATCAAATGAACAGATGATCAAGTTGATCTCCCGGTTCCAATTCTTTTGGCCATGTCGTAGCTCAGTCGATTAAGGCGCGTCTGGGATCCCCTCGGACGTAGGTTCGAACCCTCGTCACGGTCCTTGTGGATTTGTTCACAAGCAGAGTTTCAAAATATAGTTTTGTTTGCCATTTTGTCTTTTAAAACCATCTCGAACCTCTAACTCAAATTTCTCTGTTTAGTGTCGAAAGATTCACACTTTCGATACTAAAAACTAAACGCTTATTTTACAGCCCATTTTCTCCATTTGCTACTCCGTAAATATTGCAATGGTTTGACTTAGTCAGAAACGTTCAAACGACAGCGACCCACCTAACCTATTGAAGCCATTATCTTGAGGTTATTTTGAGATGATTTCGGGGCTTAGCGTCCGCGCGGCCCGGTCCTCGACCAGGCCTCCCTTTTGTTACACATCCCCCAGGAAGCAGCCCGTAGCAGCTGTCTAACTCCCAGGTACCTATTTACTGCTAGGTGAACAGAGGCACTAGGGTGTAAGAAAATATAATCATTTGTTTCCGCCTCCACCAGGGATCGAACCCGGAACCTCAGGACTACGAATTCGAAGCGCTGTCCACTCAGCTGTCAGGCCGAGGAAAATATCAGTATTGCGTTGTTTTCATTGGTACTAATACATCGTATATTAATGAATGGGTTTATCGATTGCGCTACACTATACATGCGACGTATTAGGTGAGAGGATGGGGCATTTGAACCTAACCGCTTGCCTGTTGTTGAACTTCCCTCTCTAACTCACAGGCAAAGGGACTTCAGCATCTTCCCTGAGGACTTAACTCACCAGGTGTCCCAACGTTAAGAAAACGGTCAATTTAAAGTAGTATCTCCTAATTAACCAGAGAACAGAAAACAGAAAACGGGACAGTACTTTCGCGAGTCGCTTCCATTTTCTAGTACGATAATTTTTGGCCTTAGGCAGAGTATACGTCAAAATACGTCATTCTATAAGGGGGACGAGCTGGCTGATCAACTAACTCGCTTGGCGCCGACCTCACGTCATCTCCTCCCATGACAGGTCGTCAACCTCTCTCCCTCACCCAGACCCCAGACAACCTCTATACACTACGTGAAATCACCAAATACTACGAGTAGGCTAGACACCCCCAGAACTCTCCATCATCTTACTAAGGCACGCAGCTTATAGGCCCTACGTCGACAATGGTACCGAGTGCTTGAACAGCTTGTCCAGAACGAAGGCCTATTGCCCGGTGTTGACACACACACACACACACACACACACACACACACACTATTCCAGAGTGAGTTACACTGCCACACTACCTACGGTGAGATCCAATCACGGCTTAAATTCACTAACAATAACTTCGCATAGTACTTGTCAATGCAGACGAGGAGTCACAATAACGTGGCTGAAATATGTTGACCAAACCACACACTAGAAAGTGAAGGGACGACGACGTTTCGGTCCGTCCTGGACCATTCTCAAGTCTATTACTTGTCAATATCAACTAATGAAACACGGCTTCTGTGATGAAACCGAGTTTCATTAATAACGAAGGTCAGATTTAAGGAGCAAAGGAAACAATTTAATAAAATGACACTAAGAGAAATACAGACAGTTTTTCTACTAGCTTCTCTCGAATTGAAATTTAATCGCCTGACGGGTACTGTCCCGCTGCGCTGATCATATCTTCTTGAAACCAAAAATTAGTTCAGGCTTTTAAAAACTTCAAACTTTAGCAAAATTAGAAACCTGAGTATCACAAGAATAAGGAAATTAGTACTTAGAAACAAAACTTGATAATTATCAAGGACGGACCGAAACGTCATTTTTCCATCTTGTGTTGTGTGGTTTGGTCGTCACTAAGAAACAAAGCAACTGAGGAAATCCACAAGGGCCGTGACAAGGATTCGAACCTGCGTCCGGGAGCATCCCAGACTTACAACTGAGGCTTACTTAAACTTCTCAACGACTTAAGCAATAGCACAAAAATGGAAACTATGGTATTCTAACCGTCACTAGGCTTCTCACTCAAAATTAATTCTCACAAAAATCCATAAATCACACTGGTGTTCTCTCCAGTCATCATCAATAACTCAACAAGCATATAAAGTCATAAGACACTATGTCACAATTAGCTGAAGTAAGTAATAATCCTAGTTAGTTCCGTGGGACGATGTGGGTTCTGACGCAGTCTCGCGGGCGCGCGAAAATAGTTACCGTCGCTATATTTGAAAATGGCGATTTCTTTAGATTTCTTGAATATTGACATTTCCTTTAAATCGTTACGCTCAGAAACTTATAACTTGACAGACATGAACTCTGGTCCGTCTAGTCTGCACATATACGCCAAAGAATGATTCTTGACGTCAGGAAGATGGGTAAAAAAAGGACGGTACCGTAACGCTGCCATCCCCTCACTCCCTCCCCCCCTCACCCTACTCCCCTGACTCACCCTAAACATATCCCCACCCTATTACCCCCCTCCCCCCAACCCTCACACGAGAGTAATAACAGGGTATCGTATGTTCCTGGCGAGGTCTGTCCCATAGTTATTACCAGGATGTGATTATTTCCAGTTTTGAAAACTCGCTCAAATAATTAAGGCCAGTTATATTTAGGTCAGTGATTCGTGCCTCGGGAGTGGTGGGCGGGGCGGCCATGATGGACTCGTTCCTCCTCTTATTAACGGATAACTAGAGGTCTTGAACTACTACTTTGTAGGCTGAGGGGCGCTGTAACTACCGGAGGGACAATCTGTCCACACTCAGCGCGTTGTGATGTGAATGGCATGGAGACCAGAATCTTAAGGAGACGTTTGTAAAATTAAAGGAACTTATTTTAGACGCTTCCCTCTGACTACTGAGGAGACTGTTTAGGTTGATCCAAAGTACTTATGGTTAGACAAAGCACACTTCAAATCAGCTGCGTGTCAGATCCTGATTAGAACAGGCTGTGATTGGTTGATGGTACTGGCCAATCATGGTCTTAAACGTAACGCATAAGTGACCTCACGCAAGACAGTTGGCATTTGAGAAAGATGGCGGTCAAAACAAAAATAAAAGAATTAGTTTACACTGAGTTCCAATTATTTTACCTCTAACAGCCACAGAGAATATTTACTAGCATAACTCTCGCTTAAACCGTCAGTATTGCGTGCTGTAACTACGTCAGTTAGAAAACGTAGGAAACCACCCATTTACGAAAAACAGCATTTCATTTACAAGTATTTTTCAGTGATTGATAAAGATTAAACCACCCTGAAGATGCCTCTTCTTTTATTTAAAAAAAAAGATGATTCAATCCTCAACATAGTAACCAATATCAATAATTTTTCTCCTTCACAGGGAAGCTGTCTCGAACGCCCTCGCCCAACCCACTGTCCCTCGCTGACGACGATCAAGAGCCCCCCGAAGTCAGCTCCTCGTCAGATGCCGCCAAGGACGACCCAGACGACGCCACCAGCCCCAAGAGCACCACCTCCTCCTCGTCCTCGGACGGCCGGGACTCCAAGAGAGCCCGGCTGGAGGGCTCCTGCAACTGCGAGGACCTCAGAGGCGTCACCTGTTACCTGGAGACTAAGGAACTCTGGGAGAAATTCCACGACCTGGGCACGGAGATGATCATCACTAAGAGCGGCAGGTAAGTGTTACTGTCTTACAGTCCGTGTGGTGTTGTCTTACGGTCCGTGTCCGAGTATTATTGTCTTACAGTCCGTGTCCGCGGGTGTTACAGCCTTACAGTCCGTGCCCGAGGGTGTTACAGCCCTACAGTCCGTGTCTGAGAGTGTTACAGCCTTACAGTCCGTGTCTGAGGGAGTTACAGCCCTACAGTCCGTGTCTGAGGGTGTTACAGCCCTACAGTCCGTGCCCGCGGGTGTTACAGCCTTACAGTCCGTGTCTGAGGGTGTTACAGCCCTACAGTCCGTGTCTGAGGGAGTTACAGCCCTACAGTCCGTGTCTGAGGGAGTTACAGCCCTACAGTCCGTGTCTGAGGGTGTTACAGCCCTACAGTCCGTGTCTGAGGGTGTTACAGCCCTACAGTCCGTGTCTGAGGGAGTTACAGCCCTACAGTCCGTGTCTGAGGGAGTTACAGCCCTACAGTCCGTGTCTGAGGGTGTTACAGCCCTACAGTCCGTGTCCGCGGGTGTTACAGCCCTACAGTCCGTGTCCGCGGGTGTTACAGCCTTACAGTCCGTGTCTGAGAGTGTTACAGCCTTACAGTCTGGCGAAAAGAGAATAATGCTCATCTTGCCTGACCCAAAAAGATATATTTAGTACCTACTGATGACTTTCAAGTGAGCTGGGGAAACTGATCTATTTTCGCGATTACACGAAACCTGATAAAATAAATAGTGTACGTATATAAATATACTGAAGTTTATGGCCAGGGTGCACCTGAGTACGTGCACCCTGATGCACATAACTCAGGTATGTACTACGCAGTAAGAACGATATACTACGCATATAGATGTGCCATAGTATATCTTGATATACCCGCGTAAGTTTGCCATTCAGAATATGACAGTAACTGGACTAGCCGGACTAGTCTGGCTAGCCAGCCAGACTAAGAGATTATTTTATATGTGGTGATCATGTCTCCTCCTAACTCTTCTGTCTTCTAGTGATGTGAGGTATAATTCCAGTAGCCTTTTCCCGTACCTCTCAGCTCTGGGACTAGTCTGGCGGCATGCCTCCGAATGTTCTCTAACCTCGTCTTGCGTTTGAGTAGATATGGACTCCGCGTGATGGTGCCGCATACTCCAAGAATGGTCTGACATACGTGATATTCTGAGTGATTCTTTAAAACAAATATCTGAAGGCAGTTCTCATATCTAACATCATAAGTAGTTCTAATCCTAGGAATTTCTTATGAAGTTCCTAGCATATGCCGCTTATGACATAGTTTTGATGTGGTCCTCTGGAGACAGGTTCGGAGTGACATTCCCAGATCTTTCTCTTTCCCAGAAATTTTTGCAGGATTTCATCTCCCATTTGGGACCTTGTGTTCGGCCTCCTGCTCCCTACACCTATTTTCGTTACTGTACATTTGAGTTAAATTCTAGTGACCATTTGTTGGACCATTCTTTCATTTTGTCCAGGACATCTTGTAGTTTCTTGCTGTTTCCTCTAAATTATTCCTTCTCATATTCTATGAATCATTAGCAAACACTGAGGAACGAGTTTAAATTACCTTCTGAAAGATCCTTTACGTATATCAGAAAGAGGATAGGTTCGATTAATGAACCCTGTGGCACTCCGCTGGTGACACGCTGAGATCTCAATCCTGGCATAACTCTCCGTCTTCAGTCAGTTAGGTATTCCCTTACCCATTGGAGCATCTTTTCTGTCATTCCTGGCTGCTTTTCCAACTTAATACCCCATAATAGACTGCATATTCTTGGACTGACAGTCCAAGAATATGCAGTCAGCCCTCCCTTCTCGTTCTTGTCTATTCTTTTTACTTGGTCATAGAATTATTTTAAACCTGTGAGGCAAGATAAGTTAAGAAACACTGGCCTGTAGTTCAGTGCCTCACGTCTGTCATCTATTTGTATACTGGCAATATATTAACGATCTTTCAACTTTTTGGTAGGTCTCCTGTTTCCAATGACGTATTATACACGGTAAAGTGTGCCATCTAAAGTGCTTCGTCTCTCTGCTTTAGTAGTCCACATGAAATTCTATTTGGTTCAACAGCCTTTACCATGTCCAGTTTCAGCAGATGCGCTCTCAACCTCGTCTCAGGTAATCTCAAATTCTTCCAAAGCTTCTTAGTTTACCGTCAACTCTCTCAGTTCAGAGCCTTCTGGCTTTATTATGATAACTCCCGGAATTATTTTGCCGAGTTCTTCACACACCTTCTTGTCTCGAGTCTCCAGCCACGACCCCTCGTTCTGTTGTTCCTAGATTTAAACACTGCTGTTTTGCCTACCTTGCCTTGAAGTTACCTTGAAACGTTTCCGGGGCTTTGCGTCCCCGCGGTCCGGTCGTCGACCAGGCCTCCTCGTTGCTGGACTGGTCAACCAGGATGTTTGACGCGGCTGCTCGCAGCCTGACGTATGAATCACAGCCTGGTTGATCAGGTATCCTTTGGAGGTGCATATCCAGTTCTCTCTTGAACACTATGAGGGGTCGGCCAGTTATGCCTCTTAAGTGTAGTTCAAGCGTACCTTATAAATTTCCCTTAGAATCTTGAATGTTATGAAATAGCATTATATATCTCTCTCTCTCTCCTTTTCCCCAGAGTGGTAAGGTTCAGTTCTCTCAGTCTTTCCTTATAGCTTAAGCCCTTCAGTTCAGGAACGAGTCTTGTTGCATATTTTTGGACATTTTCTAGTTTCTCCTCGTCCATTTTCAGGCTAGGGTTCCGTGCGGGGGATACATACTCAAGTGTCGGTCTATCCTTCGCTGTATATAGGACCCGGAAAGCCCCTTTTGTCCAGATTTGTGTGTGAGTGTGTGTGTGTGTGTGTGTGTGTGTGTGTGTGTGTGTGTGTGTGTGTGTGTGTGTGTGTGTATTCATCTAGTTGTGTTTGCGGGGGTTGAGCTCTGGCTCTTTGGCCCCGTCTCTCAACCGTCAATCAACTGGTGTACAGGTTCCTGAGCCTACTGGGCTCTATCATATCTACATTTGAAACTGTGTATGGAGTCAGCCTCCACCACATCACTGCATAATGCATTTCATCTGTTAACTACTCTGACACTGAAAAGTTCTTTCTAACGTCCCTGTGGCTCATTTGGGTACTCAGTCTCCACCTGTATCCCCTAGTTCGCGTACCACCCGTGTTAAACAGTTTTATCTTTATCTACCCTGTCAATTTTTCTGAGAATTTTGTAGGTAGTGATCATGTCTCCTCTTACTCTTCTGTCTTCCAGTGTCGTGAGGTGCATTTCACGCAGCCTTTCCTCGTAACTCATGCCTCTTAGTTTTGGGACTAACCTAGTGGCATAGCTCGGAACTTTTTCCAGCTTCGCCTTGTGCTTGACAAGGTACGGGCTCCATGCTGGGGCCGCATACTCCAGGATTGGTCTTACATATGTGGTATACAAGGTTCTGAAGGATTCCTTACACATGTTCTTGAAGGCTGTTCTGATGTTAGCCAGCCTCGCGTATGCTGCAGATGTTATTCTTTTTATGTGGACTTCAGGGAACAGGTTTGGTGTGTGTGTGTGTGTGTGTGTGTGTGTGTGTGTGTGTGTGTGTGTGTGTGTGTGTGTGTGTGTGTGTGTGTGTGTGTATGTATGTATGTATGTGTGTGTGTGTGTGTGTACTCACCTATATGTACTCACCTATATGTGCTTGCAGGATCGAGCATTGACTCTTGGATCCCGCCTTTCTAGCTATCGGTTGTTTACAGCAATGACTCCTGTCCCATTTCCCTATCATACCTAGCTTTAAAAGTATGAATAGTATTTGCTTCCACAACCTGTTCCCCAAGTGCATTCCATTTTTCTACTACTCTCACGCTAAAAGAAAACTTCCTAACATCTCTGTGACTCATCTGAGTTTCCAGTTTCCACCCATGTCCCCTCGTTCTGTTATTATTACGTGTGAACATTTCGTCTATTTCCACTTTGTCAATTCCCCTGAGTATTTTATATGTCCCTATCATATCTCCTCTCTCCCTTCTTTTCTCTAGTGTCGTAAGGTTCAGTTCCTTCAGCCGCTCTTCATATCCCATCCCTCGTAGCTCTGGGACAAGCCTCGTCGCAAACCTCTGAACCTTCTCCAGTTTCTTTATGTGTTTCTTCAGGTGGGGGCTCCATGATGGCGCGGCATACTCTAAGACGGGTCTCACGTAGGCAGTGTAAAGCGCCCTAAAAGCTTCCTCATTTAGGTTTCTGAATGAAGTTCTAATTTTCGCCAGTGTAGAGTACGCTGCTGTCGTTATCCTATTTATATGTGCCTCAGGAGTTAGATTAGGTGTCACATCCACTCCCAGGTCTCTTTCTCGAATCGTTACAGGTAGGCTGTTCCCCTTCATTGTGTACTGTCCCTTTGGTCTCCTGTCACCTGATCCCATTTCCATAACTTTACATTTACTGGTGTTAAACTCCAGTAGCCATTTCCCTGACCATCTCTACAGCCTGTTTAAGTCCTCTTGGAGGATCCTACAATCCTCGTCTGTCACAACTCTTCTCATTAATTTTGCGTCATCTGCAAACATCGACATGTATGATTCCACTCCTGTAAACATATCATTTACGTAAATTAGAAAGAGGATTGGTCCCAGCACCGATCCTTGAGGTACTCCACTTGTTACTGTTCGCCAGTCCGACTTTTCGCCCCTTACCATTACCCTCTGGCTCCTTCCTGTTAGGTAGTTCTTCACCCATACTAGGGCCTTTCCGCTTACTCCTGCCTGCCTCTCAAGTTTGTATAGCAGTCTCATGTGCGGTACCGTATCAAAGGCCTTTTGGCAGTCAAGAAATATGTAGTTGTTTTAGATGTGTGTGTGTATGTGTGTGTGTGTGTGTGTGTATGTGTGTGTGTGTGTGTGTGTGTGTGTGTGTGTGTGTGTGTGTGTGTGTGTGTGTGTGTGTGCGCGTGTGTGTGTGAGCGCGCGTGTGCCCCAAGGGGGGAACTTGTGTTCTAAACACCGGAGAAGTTTTATGTCCATAATAATTCATCTTTTTGGAGGCCCTGAGGCCGTATATTGTACACAGTCGCCAGC